GATTTATAATAACCTGAAGTGTAAAATGACACACCTTAGGTTGTTGAATAAATACTTCCACAAGTGTAAAAAAATATACTTCAGGCTGATAAGTAATAACCTAAGGTTGAAAATGAAACACTTTAAAGTAGTAAATATCTACCTCTCCCAAGATGTAAAATTAAACACCTCAAGTTGAAACATATATACCTCTGGAGGTATATATTAAGGTATATTTGAGGTTGGTTTTGAGGTATTCATTTGCACCCTTTTCAACCTCAACGACGTCTTTAAATAACAACCTCCTTTATACCTTTAAAATATACCTTGTTTATACCTCATTAATACCTCGATTTTTTCATAAGGGAGGACCTCTCGCTCGCGGAGCTGTACTTCAAAGTAGCCGATTTGTAACAGTTTGTTGTGTCACTGCAGTGCCAGCTGCAGCTTGAAATTCTGATGCAGATGCAATACGGAGAGCCAAAGCCATACGCTCTACACGGTGGTTTTCCCTCTCACTAATGCCGCGTGGCTGTTCAGAACTCAGTCATCTTGATGCAGTAGCTTCGTTTGACCACTGCTGACCACAGTGCTGACGTAAAATATCCTCAGTGGTAGATGGATCATGGGTTAGACTGCCCTTGCTGTCAGTCTAACCGTGGGAGGTCTTCGTGGCTTTCCTCTCTAAGTAACGCAAATGAGGGTTAATTCCATCAAAAAGTCCTCCAAGAAGGCAAATTTCCCCCAATACTTGATCCAGGAGCTCCCTTGTCTTCTGGAGTGGGTTCAAAATTACAAGGCTACGGCGTTTTACAGTCGTCAACCCTAAATTGGGTCGGCGGTTCAACGACAGTAATAAAATATAAAATTAAATAAAATCATTCACAGTGGATAGCTTTCTCCCCAGCCTTTCTGCAATATCTTGGGGAAAAATACACCTTCTCGTAGTCCTATTACACGACCACGTTCAAAGTCAGTGAGATGTTGATAATAGTTTCTTCGGATTTTTAAGGGCTTTCTTGACTAACAGCAACTCACTATGCTGAAATCTAACGGAAAATAACGCTCACAAACTGTAGAACACATATTTAAAGCAACCCTGATTTGCTTGTTCACAGTGGCGTTACTAGCGCCAAACTTATGTGACAAGAGCGAAATTTGAAGTGATGGTTGGTCGAGTAAGGTTAATCACAGATAGCACTAAGCATTAAAATTCGCAGTAAGATTTCAGGGTTACTACTTCCGATTGATTTTTATCCCTAAGCTTGGTAAAACACGCCATTCAATAATATTATACTTGTAGTATTCGCAATATTACGCGTTGTTTCTATTTAATTTTCAACGAAACAAATAACAAATGAATTCAAAAGACCCCACAAGCATGCTATGGTGCTGCTCAGAATAATATCTGGCAATATTTTTCCCAATTCTAGCCAAATAAAGGATAACACCCAAAATGTAGCAAATCTTACACTTTATTTATATTAATTTTCTTAAATTTGTCTTAAGCTCACGATCTGTTAGAATTTATAAATTGCAGAAAACCTTTATGAATGGTGAAATTTTGCGCAAATTTGAACAAAAATCACAATAATAAAACTTCCTGGAATATTTAAGCTTAAGCTTGTTCTTACATCGCCTCGCTTAAGCTATAACAATTGTTCACACAACTCCTCGTAAGCATAACATAAGCGGAGGGATACACTCGAACTTTTCTAAACGTCTTCCGGTTTGGGGGAGTTTGTTATCGTTTCAGTCAACCATCTACAACAAGAACTAGCCTAACCAAATTCAGTTTATCTAGCACAACTTCTTTTCTGTTGGGATTTTTCTTTTTTCATTAACGTATTTACTCACGAAAAACTCATCAATCAGATTCTTGCTGACATTTGCGGTTTTTTTTTAGCTGATATGGTCCTTCAATAATTACTAAAAGTATTTTGCTTTCATAGGGATCGTTCTCACAGCATTTTGTTTTACTATATATGCGCGCAGTGATTTTTCAATAAAAGAAAAAAATAATTTTAAAATAAATAAATAATAGCATCTTCCACTAATTGAGCACATACTGATTTAAAAAATTTATGTTTTACTCAGAAATATAATTTTTTTCAAATGTATCGTGTATCAAATAATTTAATACTCTCTGAGAATTTTGCGAAAACTTTATAAAGATTACAGAGCATCGTTTTCGAGTATGTGTTCCGGCGAAAAACGTACGATTTTTTAAATATAAATGTTACGAACATGTTTATTAATAATAACCGGCTGCTATTAATAATAAACAAGTATTTTAGCAAATGTCTTGCGGCTATGCACATTAATCACACTAAGTGGTTATTATTAACAATTCTCATTGAAGTTTGGTAAGTGAAATTAATTAGGCATAATTTAGTAAAACTTCAACTCAAACGTAATTTTTATATGCCTATGTGCGATGATTATAAACCTGCTTTGTAGAGTTAAAAAAAGGACTACATGAAATGCGTATTTTCACCTAAGTTTAAATTAAAAATTCAATCTTATTATCATGTCTATTGATAATGGATAATTTTTGAAATTTTCAGTTCACAAATTTTAATGTCATTAAAAAAGATAAATAAAAATATTAGCGTGTAGAAAATGGTTATTATTAACAATCAGATCAGTCGAAGTTGTCATTGTACGGTTAACCTACACTGATGTTTTGTAAGGTTAAGTGCCACTGCCCGTTATATCCCAGCACTAATGTTTTTTTCCTTCTTTTTTTAAGTTAAGGGCCACTGTCCGGTATACTTTGTCACAGTATATCCTACACTAATGCGTTTCTTTATGTTAAGTGCTTTAAAAAACAAACAAGTAAAAATAAGAGGAAATAATTAAAGCACACAAGTATTCATATAACTTATGAGCAGTGCGGACGTCCGCATCTAAAGTAGACAAGAAACTGACATTGTCTAGCCGGTTGCACAGGAAATTAACATGAGTATTAGAAACTCTAGCCAAATACATTAAAAAATTATTACACTAGTCAAATTTCATATGTAATTATTGCAATTATTAATAATAACCTGTAAATGAGATAAATTTTAATCGATTTTTTACTTTAGCTTCATTTTGAATAACATAGTGAAGATGATATTCCAAAGAGGGATACAAATTTTCGAAGAATTCTTTCAAAGATGACAACTGGACAGGTGTTGAGTTCTTAAAAATAGTCTGTAGCAAAGATGAAATCTTTAGTAAAACTTCCTGCACGAGTCACTCCTCACACAGATGAGGGGAAAAAAAGAAATCATATAAGAAATCTTGGAAGTTCATAAATACACAGTTATTATTTGGAACAATTTAAAAGCATCAGAAACATCTACAGATTTAATTGATGACTGATCAAGTAACTTTATGTAAATATATGCAATATTATAAGCATAATTGAATGAAATTTTTATTTATTTATCTTTTTATTTATTTATTTTTGAAACATTGAGGATAAAAATCTTAAAAATATAATCAAAAAAAGTAATGCAAATAATGAAAAATTATGGATATAAATAAATAATGGAAAAAATATTATCACGTCCTTACAAAAACCTGCAGCTCACGCGTAACTCATAAAAAGGTGAAACATATGCGAGAGTTACGTTAATTTTTAATTTATATTAAGCAGCGTCGAAGTATAATCGGTTGAAGAAAATCATTGTAACTCCTAATTTGTTTAAAACTGTATAATAGATTAGAATTTTTTTTCTCACAATACTATTAATGTAATATCACGATAAGTGTATAACAAATTTGAAATATTTTGAGTCGATAGTATTGAAGCAGCAAGACAAATAGCTGCTAAGTCGTTTTTCACGAAATCTTTCTTGAAGTACTTATGTTGAAAATTCAATCTCACGGCAGAAATAATCTCGTGCAGTCTTGTTTTGAGAATTTTTAACGTTTTACAATAAGAATTTCAAATAAGGATTAAGAAATTAAGTACTTTATAAGCTTAATGTGTTATTTATTTATTTTTAAACAAAAATTTGTGTTTTGTGGGAATTACTAAATGTGCGTTTTATCATAAAATTCTCTATGAGAAAAAAAAAATTATCAATATAATTTTTTTAAATAAGTAATAATTATAATAGTAAAATCAACAGAACAGAACAGTTGAAATAAAAGCCATTACATTGTTATATTAAATAATAAAGTTTTAATAAAATAATAAATAAAATAATATTTTAGGAACAGTTAACTCGACATATGTCATCATTATTATACTTGTAGTGTTTACAATGTAACACTTTCTTTCAATTTAAATTTCAGCGAAGCAAACAACAAATGAATTCGGAATACTCCGGATGCTTCCGGAGTATTCCGAATTCATTTGTTGTAACGGCGATATTTCACTCAAATATAGCCAAATAAGGGATAACACTCAAAACATGGCAAACCCTACACTTTATTCATGTTGTGATATTAATTTTCTTAAATTTATTTTAAGCTCACAACCTGTTAGAATTTATAAATTACAGAAAACTGAAATAAAATGAAAATTTGACAAGTTCTCAAATTTCCTCTCTTCCATTCCTCTATTAGTAAGACAGTAAATGTGGACCGACGACGTCGCAACAAGAAGTCTGCACGTTCTTAAATATCTATATTTTCTGGTTTTCTTTCTTCCTCACTTATATATGAAATCATATCTTGGATCAAACTGTGGAATCTCCTTAAACAAGCGACAACCTCTTAGTTTTTACTTTCTACTTGAATCTGTCTGCAAGAAAGAGTTTTACTAAAATCAGGCTCTTTTCATTTTTAATTATTCAAAAATTTTCAAGATCATGTTTGGCTGTATGATGGTGATCTTCTTACAGTAATTAATAGCTGCCAAGGATCAGCACCCTGAATCACTCTTTTCCTTTCAAAATAAAGACGTCAATTTAATATTTTAATATTTTTAAAAAAATTATAAAATATGGGAAACTTTAACGTTCGTCCATTGAGGAAATTTGTTACTACAAGTACAGCGCTGCTGTATATATTTAAAATAATTTATGTAAGTGAATTTTATGAATGTTGCTAAGCTTTTGCACTTTGGTGATCTAAGAAAATAGAAAATTTTTAAATTGTTTTTATTGATTTACAGTTTTTAAATTATTTACAATAAGACTAACTAAACTACATAGAATAGACAGAATTCCAGCTGACAAAAATGTTGTACTTGCTCCAAAATACCGGATACCAATACCTCCCAGTAAACTCCCTGTTGCAACTCCTGAAAAATTGTGAATATATAAGTAATTAGTAAAATTAAATATAGTAATTAGTAAAATTTTGGGGACCTCCCAGCAGACCGAGCTGTTTCGCCAAAAGCTGAAAGCGTAAGGATGCTAGTTTGCAATCCGATACAACTCTGGATGCCTCTGTGTAATATTCTTCACTAATTTGTACAATCTGTTCACCAACTTGACAAGGGTGCACTTTATAATGAGTATACAAACCTGCATAAGGGTTCGTAAAAATAAATATAAAAAAAAATTACTGACAGAAAGTGTTTTGCATATTATACCATCCTAATTATATTTCAAATTGCAATTTATCCTACAATGTTTGAAAAATAGCGAAAACTATTTAGGTTATATATATANAACAGTTAAAAAAGTGTACACTTATATTTTAGAAATGGAAGGATAAAGATGTGTCTCGGAGCTTTGCTCCAATTGTATATAAATTGTAAATAGATTCCTTATTCTTAATCTCAATAAAAGCATAGAAAATGCATTATGTTGTCGTCCTTATATAAAGGATATTAAAAATATTAAAATATGACTGCGAAAATTGGAATCAACAAAATAATGATTCATGAATGAAAGCGACGGCTAAAGAGTTTACGAGGAAAATAGAGGAGGAGCACCACACACGCACGCACGCACGCACGCACACACGCACACACACACACACACACACACACACACACACATATATATATATATATATATAAACTAAATAATTTTCGCTATTATGTTCAAAAATGGCAAACGATATTTAGGTTTTCTTTACAAAATTGCATTAAGGAGCATAATAAAATTTTAACATTTTAGATACAGTGACAACTCCGAAGAACATATATAGATTACTCTGAGTTTCAGCATATAAATAAATAACAAGTAACTTTTTTCAATGATTGTGCGGTTCTCCTGCAGAGAAATTGTAATGGTAATAAAAACTATTTTCCAAGCATAACGTTTTGGTAGTTTTATATGGTAAGTTTATTTAATGTGGAGGTATGTACATTAAATAAAGTTCTATAAAAATATAATTTGAAAATAAAAACGTCGAAAAACCTAGTTGATTAGTGGATGTGTATGATAAGAGGAGGTGGCTGACTAATGACTAAACGCAGTATTCAATACTGGAGAGCATGCAGACATGCACATCAATTCGTAGTTTTTGTGGAAATAAGTTAAATTTTTCCTTCGATTTTTGCTTAATGACAGCTGAATGGAAAACGCCGGGATAGCTTGTTTAGTAGGACGTTGAGTTCGTGCTCGTGAGAACAAAAGTTCGAATTTCGCAGGCAGAAGAATATCCGTTCATTAAAGGGTGACTGGTGCACGTTAAATCTGTCAGTGTCTCAAAGACCTCCAAGTTCTCGTAACAAACCAATACCTCTGGGAGTACTGAATTGGAAATTCATCGTTCTCTGGTTTAGGTCGAAATTACGATATGTGGATGAATGAATGGAATATGATTGGATACGCCTTGTAAAACGGGCTATGACGTGTGTGTGGCAAAAGTCGTATTATTGGCTATAGATGGAGGCCCAGAAAAAAGAGAAACGAACTATCTGCCTTAAAAGTTCGCGTGATTTTAAGCAGGTTTGCTGGTATTGGCGAGTAACATAAGTAAGAACATCAATGAAAAACTACGATAAACCTTATTCCCATAGTTGTAAGTGCTGTGGTCAAAAACAGAACACACCGGAATGAGTAAATTCAATTACCACTCACGAATATCAAGAGCGACAGTTTGAAGGTTCAATTATCTCTAGCAATTGGCAAAATGTGGAAAAGGATTGTTATAGGTTCATGTTATATTTTTAAAAACAATGAAAAAAAATGTCAGAAAGAAATGTAATAGCGAACAATCTATGACCCGTGACGATTTTTTTCATATAAATCCTTGAAAAATAATAGAATATTATCAAAAATAATGAACACAAGTACTCTTAATAAACATTTACTCATATTTTATATTTACTAAGAATTTTTATTTCATATTTTATCTGCTCATAGAATTTTTGTAATAAAAATTTTATAATTTGTCATGATTATTCAATCGTAATTGGTCTAGGTTGTTGTTATAACAATATTTTTAAAGATGTAATTTTTTTAAATTGATAAATACTTGAATTTTTTGCTAAAAACAGTTGAATGAAGAAGTTTGAAACACTAAAGGAAAATCATAGGTCAAAAACTATATATATATATATATATATATATATA